GAAACCCTGAGTCGTGAAGTGACCACGCATGCGGCCTGGCCGCGTGGGCCCATTGCCCCCGCGGGGGCCAGGCCGTCCTGCGGTCCGGATGGGCGGCCCCGGTTGTGGCACCAGCGCTGGCACCAGCACAGCCGCCGGGAGGGGCTTCCTGGCCCCGCGCTGGCCGCTGGAGCAGCTGCCTCTGGAGCAGCCGGCTCTGGACGCGTTGTCCGCCGGTGCAGCGTGGCTGTTGGAGCGAGCCCAGCCTCTCCCGCGATCCTTAACTCCTTTCTTTGGTGTGAAACCCAGCCGGGGACCCCCCAAGCCCTGTCCCCTGCTCCTTCCCTCCGAACCACTGTTCACCTCTAAAAAGTGCCGTGAAACTGTAAGAGCAAACTACGGATTCGGACTCAAGCTTCACCACGGATTTTGTCCTAAAATGCGGTTTCCTTAGACTCTCTCCTGCACTGCCCCCGACTCCCGACATCCGCCCGGACACCGTGAGCCCTGTGCCTCTGGGCCACGCGGTCCCTCTCCCAGCCCCAACGCAGCCTGCAGCCGGGCCCTGCTCCCTGTCACGGGGCGGGGTGGGTGGGGGACCCACGCAGGGCGGGGCAGCCCGGCCGCCACAGGGATTTCTGTCCCGACAGGCTGCGCCCCCGGCCCTGCGTCAGCGCTGCCTTTGGGAGCCGACATTTCCCGGCACCACGCTGTTGGCCCTGCCCACAGTGTCCCCGTGACGAAGACTCACCAGGTGACTCAAAGTTCAAAGGTGCGGGTGTGACGCAACACCCCTTGGCAATGGGCCTGGCCCCGGGCCCAGGGCCTCGGCGCGGCTGCGGTGACTTGGTGCCGCCTGCAGAGGGCAGCAGTGCGGAGCCGGCATCCCTCCCGCCGGCTGCGAACCGGCCGCAGCACAGATTTCAGTTGAACCATCTTCCTTCCATGTTACTAATTAGTCAGCACCAAGGTATGAATGTATCTTAAAAAACACTTAGTGAGCCTTGTGCGTGGCAGGCCCTGTTGCATCGGTGCCTCGAGCCCCCAGCCCGCAAAGCTTTCCAGCTTTCCTCCTCTCCTCCCTCGACCCTCCCGTCTGCCTCTGGGAAGCCCTCCAGGACTGGCACCCCCAGACCCCACCCCCAGGCGCTCCCGGCCCCTCTGGGCTCCCCAGGCCCACGCGCGGCCCCTTCTCCACGTTCTTGCGGTTGCAGCTCGTCAGTGTGGCTTGCAGCCTTGGGGGCTTGTGATACAGTTTGCGGGCCGCATTGTTACTTATTGTTACAGTGTGAGCATTCAGCAATGCCGTTCAGTAGTCTTCATAAATGTAATTTGTAGCGGCTGCGTAGTACTTCCAAGAACCGCGAGGAAAAGTCCCTGACAGAATGCCTTTCCAAGAAAAACGTCTGTAAATGGATTTGGGGGAGGGAGCATTATAGAGGGAAAATTGCTCTGGAAAGGGTATTGTATCAAATTGCCAGACTAAACAGCAGCCCCTCCCTGCTGCTCCGACCTCCGCCCTAGAAATGGTAGAGGAATAACCGGCTTTGGGTGGCGAGCGCACACTGTAATATACAGTAATGTCTTGCAGAATTGTACACTTGACACTTCCATAATGCACCCCAATAAACTTAATAAAAAGTAGTATTTTTTAAAAGCCAAAAATGACAGCCCTGGACAACAGGCTGGAGGTGAGTGGAGGGTCGCGTGTGCAGAAGGGGCAGGGGGAGGGGCGGAACGACCTGACCGCGGGGCGCGGCCGTGTGTGGGAGGGTGCACGTCGAGGGTGAGGCAGGGGGGGGGGGGGGGGATGGGCGCGACGGCAGCCTTGCGCGCAGTGCCGGATCGGAGCGCGCGCCGGGCCAGTCTTCTCCGGCTCAGCAGCCACAAGGCCACGAGCTTGGTGGTGGCAGCAGCCCCCTTGTCTCCCCCCAGTTCCTGTGGGTGAGGCTTCAGAGCACAGCGTGGCGGGTCCTGCGCCTCAGGGCCTCCAGGGAAAGCGGCCAGCAGACGTCTGCTGGGGCCGCAGACGCAGGTCGAGGCCGGGCGCGGGGACCCACCTCCAGGTTCCCTGGTCGCTGGCCAGTTCGATCCTGTGCAGCCTGCGGGGCTGGGGCCTCTGCCTCTTCCCTTGGCTGCTGGCTGGGCGGGGACGCGCGTTTGCTGCCCCGTGGGTCTCCGCGGTGCGCTCCTCGCCTTCCAGCACCAGCAAGGGAGAGCGGCGCCCAGCGCGACGCGGTTTCTGTCACACGGTCACGGCAGTGGCACCTTTCACCGTCTCTATGTGCCACCAGTCGGAAGCGAGGCGCAGGCGCCACACCCGCTCAGGCCAAGTATTTCCCAAGCGTGCGGATACCAAGAGCTATTCATGGGGCCACCTTGGCTCTGTCCCGCGCAGGAGGTGAGGTGCTGGTGCCAAAAAGAAATTATTATTTATTTTTCGCAATTGGTTGGGTTCAAGTCCGTGATGGGCAAGGTCTCAGCGGCTATTGATTTTAGGCCCAACGTCCGTGTGGTGTCCCCGTGACCTCCCCGGTCCCCACTCTCCTCGTGTGCACGGCGAGGGTGGAGTTGGATTTGTGTGTCCTCCAACTTACGCTGTGTGTCAGGGAATGTGTTCGGGCCTGCGGATCAGTAGCCATGGGACACTGCGCCATCGACCTCGGCTTTCGGGCTCCGTTCCCTTGTTAAAAAAATCACAGTGTCACATCATGGATCATGGCAAAAATTCGGTGAACATTTATTCAGCACGTGGAAGAGCGCACAGCACAGCCTCTGGCTCCGCGTGTTAGGAACACGTACAAAGAGTGCAGGTCGTGTTCAGAATGGCACCTGGCACTGGGCCAGCCTCGCACCAGCATTTGCGATTCATCGGATGTAAAACAAAAGCGAGCATCGTGTGGCGCTCAAGCACTTGCTGGACAGCTCCCCCTGGGAAAGGCTGAAAGGAGGTTGGAAAAGAACAAAAGCGCGTCTGCGTACGTGTATTTTTCAGTGGCCAGTTCCTCCTCTTGCTCGGGGCAACCCAGTCACAGAGCAGCGGGGGCGGGGGCTTCACCTGGGAGGGCGCCTGCGGCCCCTTCCGTTCCACGCAGGGGTGTCCTGGGAACAGGGAGCAGCGCGCAGGGTGGGTGGTCTCTGTCGCCGGTGAGAGGAGCTGGGCCCCTGTGACTGACCGGTCGGGACTGCGTGCAGGGGTCAGGCACTCAGGGCCGGGGTGCAGCGGAGCAAACACAAGCTCCCTGAAATGTCAGCAAGGAATGGCCCGAAAGTATCAGCCTGGTTTATTCGGGAGGATCGCCTGACATACTAATGAAAAATGTAGATTCCCAGAACCTCACGGGGCAGTGGGAGAGCGGAGAGCTCTGAAGTCTGGACTTTGAGCAGGTTCTTGCCTCTGTTCCGGCTTCTTTAAGGCCGTCTGCCAGCATTTGAGAACCAGCTGAACACCGCCACCCCCTGGTGGCAGCTGCTCCAAATTACAGGTTCAGATAGCCTCCCGCAGTGGCCTTGGCAGGGACAGACCCCCCCACCCCCCGCCCCCGCCCCAGCCCAATTACACCTGAGTGAGGAACCCGCCTCCGCCCTGGCCTGCTCACGGATACGCTCCGGGGATTCCGGGCCAGCTTACGTAGAGTTTGTATGATTCGGACCTGTGAGGACACAGCCTCTCGTCATTTTAACTCATGCCTTTTGAACGTAGACCTCATCTTCCCAAATTCTCCAACTATAGGGCATCGGTTTGTGGAGTCAAAGAAGCCACACTCAGGCATGTAAAACGATCCTCTGGAAGCTTCCGGCACAGAGCCTGTGCGGGGTGAGGTCTTCGCAAAGAGCGGCATCTTGCCGGAATGATGGCTTTTTTTCTGGTGGGTTCTGGGATTGCCCGCAAAGGGGCCGTGAGCAAAGGGGCTGGTGTTCAGGGAGTTTTCTCCTTCTGCTTTCAGAGAACCCGGGTGCTTCTCCACCTCAGGTTGTCTTCTCAACGTTCGAATTGGAACGTGCTTTGCTTTGCTGAGCTCAGATCCTTTCTGCTTTACCTGTGTCACGAGACACACCATTCAGGGCAAAGTGTGCACAGAGGGAAGGGCCGCGTTTTCACACGTAGCTGGTGTTTCACCACCAAGCACGGCACCCGGGCTGTGTTACCAGGAGTGGGTGACAAACAGGTCTGGCCCAACACGGCTTTGAAATGAGGCGTCTCCCCACCCAGTCACAGTGTGGCCTCTCCCCCCGAGACAGCTCGTCAAAGTGGCTGGAGATTTATGACCCAAGATTGCACGTTCTCCGGAAAAAAACACTGCTAGTGAGGAGGATGCTCATAAACGCACTACATGACTCTTCCTGGTCGGTTATCACGGCCGCCTCGCTGCTTGGTGTTCTTGCTGCCTCTGTAAAAAGGCCTCTGATGGGTTTGTAGGGCAGTGTCTCAGCAATTTAAGCAAAAGTATCATTGAGGTGAAATTTAGGGAACTGAACGCGAGCCCAGCCATCGGTGGTGTTCGGTGCGTTCCCAGGGTCCTGCCGCCCCGACGTCCGGTTCCTTCTCCGAACGCGGCTCCGCCCCCACACGCCATCAGCACGCGGTGGGTTTGAATGACACACGGAGGGAATTTCAAGAAGCGACAGCAGTGTTCCCATCGACGCCGGCGCTTCCCAGCCACGCTGTGTCGCTGGGGGGAGTGTACGATCGCCCAGGAGCCTCTGCGACGCCCTCAGGGGGCAGCTGAGCTGGTGGGGACTTGGGTGTGTCAAGCGCAGCCTCAGCCCCGGCTTTGATGATGTGCCACATTCCTTTGCAAACAAAAAAGGCAACAAAAATGTGGGCAAGGAGTCTGTGTTCCTTTATACGCATTTTATTAGCAAACACAGGAGCTCTTTATGCAAATGGCGGAGGGCGTGTGGCCACAGGGGCGTGCCCTCGGCCCCGTGTATAAAAGGCCGTGGGCCCAGGAGCCCTTCATTCCCTCCTCGGTACCTGCCTTTCGCAACCTGCCCGCTCCCCCTCGCTCGCTGCCACCATGACGCGCTTCTTCTGCTGCGGCAGCTACTTCCCCGGCTACCCGTGCTATGGGACCAACTTCCACGGGACCTTCAGAGCCACGCCCCTCAACTGCGTCGTGCCCCTGGGCTCCCCCCTGCACTGCAACTACGGCTACGGCTCCCTCGGCTATAGCTTCGGCGGCAGCAACCTCAGCAACCTGTGCTGCGGGTACGGCGGCAGCTGCTGCCGGCCCTGGGGCTCGGGCTCCGGCTTCGGCTACAGCACCTACTGAAGGCCCCAGGGCCGGCGCCGGGCGGGAGGGGCCCGGGGCAGCCTGCACAGCAGCGCTGGCCTCCTGCCTGTGGGTGTGCTCGGGGGAGACGTCGGCCGTCTTCTGCTGACCTCTCGGGGAGATCTGGGCCGGGAGATGCCGAACTAGCTGCCCAGGCGTCCGCGCTGGATGGACGCGCACCCACGGCTGCAGAAAGTGCCACGCACTTCCCGCCGGAGCTGCGCTGTGGCAGGGCCTGTGGGTCGTCTCCTTCAGTCGCTCTGCTCGCGCAGTTAACTTCTACGTCAGCGTCGACGCCTTAGGCCTGGGGGTGGGTAGGAAGGGGTTCTGCTGCTCTTAATAAATCTAACTTATTCAGCACACATGTTTTTTGTTCTGGTTGTTTCTCTTACTGTGCCTTTATGCTTTTGAAGTCATCACCCAGTCTGCGCCTGTAGTGGGCGACTTGAATCAAATCTTACTCTGATTTCAGACTATACGTGACGACCAGGTGATGCCTAACATTCTTTCCCTTTATTTTGAGATTTCCGTTTTTAAGAATTGTATTAAAATGTTCTAAATTTAACCTAAATATACTCAGCTGAAGAGACCTGTGACCCCACAGGCTGTTGGGAGAGTTTCAGCTAAACAGACGCGGTGATGAATCTTCAGTGGGCTCTGTGGCCTGGTCAGTAAATGGAAGGCAATAGCTGAAATCACAGTGTTTCCCCCTTTTGGTAGGTGGGCTTTGTGGTTCTCACCTTCTCCTCTGGGTACACGTGTAGCTGTATTAAAAGTGAATCTTGTGTTCTTTGGAACAACAGGTGCCCTCGAAAGCCCTTGACATGATATCTGGTCTGCACTTAGAAACAATTCTTGCCCTGTTTACTGAGAAATCTCTGTTTTATCAAAGCAAAATACTTCAGGTTAGAATTAAAGCAAACTCGTTCAACACCTGTCGCACCCAGCCACGTGGACAAAGGCATGAAAGGCGGCCAGAGGAGAGCGTGCGTGGTGACGGGGGCGGTTGTCGTTTCAGACCCCAGGGACCGTTCTGTTTTCACTGGGCGAGGAGGCCTTTCCGTGTGCGGCGACACACAGCCGGTCGAAGGGTTGTGTGGCTTCCAGAAGCCCACAGCGACTCTCGACACGTGAGCCGTCGTCCCACCCCCCTCCAGGTGAGGTGCTCAGGTGTGCGCCGAAGGGAGGCGTGCTCATTTGCCATGGGCGACACGAGAAGGTCCCCTCGTTGTTGAGTTTAAGGTCCACTCTCCTGAGAATGGCCTCCTCTCTCCTGGCAAACTCTCTGCTGGAAGAACCCCCACCTGACGGCAGTAGAAGAGACTGGTGGGGTGGGCTGCCGGCGCCCGCTGTGCAGTGGTGAGCGCGTCCAGGGCCGTGAGCAGAATATGCTCAGGATTCGCCATCGTGGCTGTAGTAGTGTTTTCGAAGTTAAATGAAGAATGAACTCCAAACATAAGAGCTCCGACTTTGCCTGTGTATACGATGACTTAGGTATGCGAGATAAGTTTAATGCCTGTGAAAACTATTAAGAAAATCTCCCCCAGCATTGGTGAGGCCATGCTTTGCGATTAACGTCAGCTTTGTGCATGGCGCAGCTCAGACTGAGACGCTGGGCGCACGCGTTGACTTCCATGTGTGACCCTGAATTGTTAGGCTCTGAAGTTAAAATTCTGTATTTACCCGGCAGTCAAACAAAAAGCTTAATTCGCAGGGAAGGGTTAGTCTGCATAGCTGTACCGAGCAGGGTTCGTGGCGACGCCTCTGCATTGGTTGCCTCAGCTGCTGCTCGAAGATGCCCGTGGTTTCCCCGGGGGCCAGCGACAGAAGCGATGGCTTTCTGAAGGAGGGGTCCACCGTGACCACATGCTTCTTGCAGGCTTGCACTTGTAGAACCGCATTCCCTTCTGCGGTGCCATTAAAAACAAACACACACACACACACAAACTGTACCAGTCCTTGTCTGCACTTTCCCCTTCTCGTCGGACCACACGCCTCAGCGCAGTGACTTCGGGGGCAGGCCCCCGTAGCGGCGGGCGACGAGGGCTCCCCGTGGGGAAGCGCTCTGCGTGTCTGCCGTAAGGAGGGTTTTTTTTCAGCTGTGTCACAGGCTTAGCTTAAACCATTGAACTTACGCTCCAAGGTAACTCTAGGTTAATGTTGGCAGTGTCGCAAGTTATGGACGGCTCCAGTTGTGTGTTTAAAGTCGCATGTTTACAAGCCTAAGTCCGGGTGTCAGAATTTAAGCAATTCTTAAACTGTATGACTGTCTCCTTGATCTCCTGGCACACTTCTGCCACCTAGCCCGCGGGGCGTGCTCGGGCGTCCTCGGTTGCCCAGTAACGTCCCTCGTGGTTACGCCCTCCCTGGTCCCTGTCTTATTCAGTCGGTGGGAGTCTCTCTAGTCCCTCTTGATCCGGACCAGGCTGAGTTCCTCAGCTGCTGCTTTCGCGACCTCATCCAACTGAAGAATGCGGCCCCTTGTTTACAGGATGTGCCTTGATTTGGGTTTGCCTGACTTTTCTCACGATTAGATGCAGAGCAGGCACTTCGGGGTGTTTTTGTGTAGACGGGTCCGGAGGGATGGCGCCCCCGCGCGCACCCCGGCAGGAGGCGCGTGCGCGTGCGCGAGCCTGGTGCGCGCTGCCCTGGATCGCCGATGGAAGCGGGGTTTTTCGAGTCCCTTCGTCATGAAGCTGCTCTTTCTGCTTTGGCAGTCGATACTTAATTTGTGTTTTGAGACTTTGGCACCAGTAACTCTTTTTCTTATCAGGGCTTCACCCACTCATTTTAGGATCCATTCAGAATTTTATAATTTTATAAATTCTTGTGCATCTGTTGGCTGGCATTCTACTCTAAGGAAAGTCTTTCTCTTCTGCCCATTCATTTTTTGTGAGCACATTGCTGTGTATCATTAGTTACATCAGTATGAGCTTGCGGATTCTTACTGTCCTCAGTATGTTATATCCGTTAATGTTAATTTTGAGGCTCACGTCCCAGGTTTGGACCACGGGACACGCTGATGCTGGGTCCTGTGTCCTTTAGAGGCTATTCCAGGCTCGTCTTGAGTTTTCTCCTCCAAGCAAGGCCTCGGGGATTCCTCTTGGGGATTCCTCCTGGGAGCCCTGGCCCCAGCAGTGGGGACTGGCACCTGGAAGCTGAGACACGGGACCAGTGGGCTCACGGCTGTTGCGTGGCGCTGCGTGTGCTCATCTGTGTCCTTCCCTGTGGTTGCCAGTTGTGGGAGCGGGTGGAGGGGCTGAGCAAAAAAGAAGGAGAAAGAACCCACGGGCCCGGACAACGGCGCGTGGCTGCGGGGGCGGGCGGGGGCGGAATTCCTCAGAGGCCGAGGAAATTCCGGGTACGGTCAGGGAGGCCAAGGGAAGAGGAGGGTGCCAGAAGGACCCTGCGCTCTGCCCCGAGGCCCGAGCCGAAGGTCGCCCAGCCCTTCCCCACACCGACATGTGGAGAAGGCTCCCGCGTCCCGGCTCCGCCACACCCGCGCGCAGAGGCCGGACCCCGCGGCCCGGCCAGGCGGTCGGGACCCTCTGCTGTTTGCTCGGGCCCGCCAGGTGGCGCTGGGTAACGACCGGGTTCCGTTCTGGACCTCGACGCCAAGCCCGCGCCTTTCCTCCCCGACCTCGGCGAGCGGCCAGGCAGAGCCTCGTTCCGGTGCCACCTCGGCTCAGGCCAGGGCACCGCGCCAGCTGCCTGGCCACTCTGCCAGGCGGGCCCGGCCCACTTTCCCGCAGCCGACGGCGTTCTCTCTCAAAATACAAATCTAATCCAGGGACTCCTCCAAAGACTTGGTTATTTTGCGGGTTCTTACAAATCTCAGGTCAGTTTGTGGGTCACAGAACTACCGGTTCTGGTCTCGTTTCGTGCTCCTCGGGACCACGCCTCTTCCCCAGCGACGGGGCCCCTGTGGCCCTCGCGCCCGGCCTCCTGCCTTGCCTCCTGAGCGACAAAGGCCCCCCTCTGCCCCAGGGATCGCGGGCCGGGAGAGCTTCCTCACCTGAGCGTCGCTGTGTTCACACGGCACTGCCAAAGCCCCAGCCAAGGCCGCGCGCACCTGCTGCCAGGCAAAGCGCATCCCTCGCCTGTGGCGACAGGGGAGGTGACAAAGCGCAAGGGGCTGGGAGGGGCTCGCCCCAGGACTGGGCGCGAATTAGCTGGGTTTGGAGAGGGTAAGAGAGGCAGGGTCTCTTCTGGACCGTGCGTGGCAGACTTCATGGTTAAAACAGCACAGATTCACTCCCTCGCGGTTCTGGAGGTCAAGTGTTCAGAACCGGCGCGAGCGGGCTCGGGTCGGGCAGGCTGTGCTCCCAGGCGCCTCTGCGAGCGCGCACTCCCCAGCTTCCCCCCCCCCCCCGCTGTGTGTCCCCTTCCTCCGTCTTCACAGGCAGCGGCACAGCGTCTTCAAGTCTGTCCCGGACTCTGGCTCTGGCCCTCCTGCCTTCCCATGTCACTTCCAGGGTCCTTGAGATGACCCGGGCCCCACGCAGATAACCCTGGGTCAGCCCGCCCTCAGGGCCAGGAGATCCGCCCCTGCACCCGCCCTTGCAGCTGGACACAGCGGGTTCCGGGCTCCGGGCGACCATTCTGCCACCCTCCAGCCAACGGAGGCACCTGGCCAGGAAAATGGTGTTAATTTCAGCAGAAAAAGGAAAGGCTTTTAAAAATTATTTTCTATACTTTTGTTCTACTTTTTATTGCTCTTTGCAGGAAAACTCTTCTTGTTGCCAGTTCCACTGAGGATAGTGGGCCAGCACTTAAACCCTGGCATTGGGGGGGGCGGAGCCTGCGAGCAGGTGAATGGAAGCCTGTCCTGCTCCTGGGGCCTGTCGGCCAGAGACCCTGTGGGACCTCCGCGGAAGCTCCTGCAGGCACGGGTCACAGTGGCCTGCAGAGATGCCCCCTATTTCTCAGACACCCGTGCCTTCCCGGGCACTCGCTCCGCGGCTCCCGGCACCGCCTTCGACAACGGTGTTTGCACTGCC